GAATGGTGGAAGGAAGCTGACAATACATGTATTGTAAATGATCATTTAGGGTTTGCTTGATGTCCAGAAAAAAAAAAAAAAATGAGGGCTGCATCTGATTTACACAGTTCTGACCAATTATGCCCCATATATATGGGATGGTCACTCTCAGGACTGATAATAGTATATAAACAAAATCCTATCCATATAATACTTTAGTTTGAATGTAATTTTCCATCATTTTTGGTTACAACATTGTCATGATTGGGGAGAACAGTAGTGAGGGGTATGGGTTCCTGAAAGACAAGGGAGGCATCAACCAGCACAACAGTGGACACATACCAATGGCACGCCGGAAATGAAAGTTCATGAGGCAGAAAATCTGGCAATGGATCAGGGGCACGCCAGAAATGAAAGTTCATGAGGCAGAAAAGCTGGCAATGGATCAGGGGCACGCCAGATATGAAAGTTCATGAGGCAGAAAAGCTGGCAATGGATCAGGGGCATGCTGGAAATGAAAGTTCATGGGGCAGAAAAGCTGGCAATGGATCAGGGGCACGCTGGAAATGAAAGTTCATGTGGCAGAAAAGCTGGCAATGGATCAGGGGCTTTCTGGCATGCGGTAATCAGAGGGTTGTTCTGCAGAGGTCCTGTTATACGATGATGAACTAATGATGACGAATGACTTGAATACATTTTTAATTTCACATGTTTAAAAAAAATTCTAACAAATGGTTTAACAAAATAGAAAGCATTCTTACATATTAATAAGATAACAAAAACGGAACAACAGTTTTAATGATTCACAGAGCATCACAGAACTGAAAATGTTGTCTACAAGTGATAAAACTATGTCAGAATTACAAACTGATGAATTCCGAGTATCTGGTCAACAATGCAAAAACCATTTAAAAAACTAAATAACAATTTTTAAAGTTAATGTGTTACCAAAGGGAATTCAGAATATCAATCAAATTAAGAAATAAAACACAAAATGTGTGAGTCAGTTAGATGGAGAAAAATATTTTCAGAGTGAAATAAGCTAGGTAAAATAAATTCACTTTCTACTCCATTTTTTTTTCAGGAGCCCTGGAATACCCATTGGGATATAATCAATATAAATATAATCTCTCTAAATGCCATGGCCAGATGAGTTTAGAACCAACATCAATACTGATCAGATGATACACTATACATCTAAGGCACACTGACACAATGGTAGGGTTGAAACTTACACCTCAGATTTCAGATGCTGGTATTCTATCTAACCAGTCAACATGGCCTTCTTAATTTATTTATCATCATCATCAATGCTTACTTTTGCCATTCAGAGTCATGGGGAGGAACAGTCTGCAATCCCCTGCTCCATGGGCTGCACTGGCTTCTGTCAGTCCACGTGGACATTGGGACATAGAACATCTGAAATGTCAACACACCGTCTCCTGGGTGCCCTCTTGCTTTCTCATAGATCTTGTTAAGTGCAGCACCTGTGTTGGTATCTGTTGCGACTGTATTCACTGAGACGACTGAACCATTTGACTGTCTGCTTCTTAATAAACTTAGCGCAAAGTGTTTTTCCCCACAGTGTGTCTGATAGTACCATTTCTCAATTGGTCTCGGGTGATTTAGTTAGCTGCTTTCCTTAGAAGACATCTCATCTCGCAAGTGTTATAAAGGTAATGATAATGTCTAGGTGTGGTACTAATCGCAGTGTTCATACATATATACTGTTTATAACATTTCTTGGTGATCATACTTAAGCTTGATTATGATAATAATGGTGTCAGCTGGTATGTAAGTGCATTGGTATTATATTAACTATTAATAAATTAACTAGCCACTTTTCCTTCATATTCTGAATTTCAAAGTGTTTTTCCAGCCTTAAATGTTAATGTTTCCAGTGAGAAGGGAAGATGATCAGTTTCTCTTTCTATTTTTCTCTCACTGAGCCTCCATTTTCTGAGAAATACACTGAATGTTTCTTGTGTCTAAGGACTTAACTGAACAGATTACAAATGTATGTCACGGGAGAATAAAAGGGTATAAACTCATACATGGTGTGAAACAAAAAACACCCTGCTAACCGTTAAGTACAATATATCCCCTGCAATCTCTACAGTTATTGCAGTGCTCCATGTTTTGACCCCAAAAAATTCACACCTGATTCACTTTTTTTATTTTTATTGAATACATTGCATGAAAGTAGATCTCTATATTCAACAATAAGAAAGAGACAAACAGTGTTCTTTGGCCACATAATGAGAAGAGAGACATTGGAGAACATCGTGGCAACTGGAAAGATCAGTGGAAAAGGGGGTAGAGGCAGACCAAGAGAGACGATGCTGGATGGGCTGAAATGATGGCATAGAGAGATATGATCAAGAGAGTTGTTCCAGGCAAACAGGGATCGTGATCTCTGGAGACGCATGAATGCCTATGCCAGTTGGCAGGGCACATGATGATGATGACACTGCAATTCTAGTAGCTAGTTTCTAAAAATGCTACCCAGGAATGGACTCAAGAACCTGGTTTCAACAGACAAGACTCATAGAATAATAGCAAGAGAAAGGCAAAGCAATAAATATCAGGATGGGCTGACCACACGTGGCTGATGGGATGAGACAAGAGCACTGATTGGATCCGTGATTCTGGTGAGATGACAAACATGACAGCTAAGGATTATCAGCAGGGCTGATGTCAATGATGATACTGTTTTTTACACATCCTATGCCTGTGCATTAAGCTCAGTGTGAATTACCACTTCTTAGTATTCACTGGTTGTGAACTCTGACGGAAAGTTCTGATTGTTCGTCCACTTCTGGACTTTGGCTTTGTTTCAGAACTTGAGTTTTACATGTACATCAACTTTACAGGTCTGGCTTATTATGTATGCAGACTGTTTATTCCACACCTCTCAGGCAGTCATACTCTGACTTCAAAGGAAATGCACCCAATCGGTTGCCTTTTAAGACACTTGTTTGGGGACAGTGGGTCTATTCATCACACCCCCCCCACCCCCAAGGGGCCCCAGAACAGACATGTGAGTTAGTTCATTTGCAACGTCTACATAAGTGCTCTGCTCTCAACTACATATACTGACACACACAGCAGTAAATATATTTTCACGAGTAAATTTCTCCACATCTGGTCAATGAAATTTATATTAGTTTATTTTACAAATATTTATATCGTTTTATCAAACAAACAAAATTTCAATGCTATTTACAAAAACAAAATAAACTGAAATATCAATTATATACAACTCTAGAAAAAATTAACAAGAGAAACACAGCTTATAAATCTAAATATTCTCTGATTTATATATATATATATATATATATATATATATATATATATATATATATATATATATATATATATATATATATATATATATATATAATAGTCTGTATGTTTTGCTTGAGCATAATCATGAGGAATGATCTACAAAAAGAAAGATGGCCAACATATTCATATAGATAAGAAGAAACATCCTACAGTCACACTTAACAGGTACAGAGTTGGAATGAGAGAAAATTTAGGTCAGCCTCAGAGCTACAGAGGTTGCAATAAACATCCTGCCACATCTGGAGATTGAACCAGACCACTGACTGGCAGGCAAGCATACTAACCATTATACAACTATGCCACACCCACACACTTGATACACCCACACACTCGATACACCCATACAAGAACGCAAAATGCACGCACACACACATCCATCTTGATGAAGTTTATTACATCTCATAATACTGAACTAAATTTTACATACAAGATAAATCTACTTACAACTGAAAGCATGATTCGTTCAAGTGTCAAAAACTACAAAAAAAATTATTAGAACTGGGCAACATTTAACTTACAAATAATATTAAATGCTACAAAAACAATGGCTTTTACATTTAAAAAAAAACTAGAATTAACAATGCTGTTCTAAAATGCATTTTAATCATGTATTCATTACCTTTCAGAATAATTATAACCTGCAATAATGAGGTGCCATTTAATATGGCAACAATTGTCAGCTGTTTGATTAGTGCTCTGTCAGCACCGATTGTCAGTTTAATGACTTTTTTCCCTTGTACTACACAGCAGTATTTCATATTTTTTGTTTCAACCTATTCTTGCACCAAATGATTAGAGCAGTTCTCAGATAAATGCTTAAAAAACCCCTCAATTACTGCTAAATAAACTTTCACTATGCATAAAATGGGTAAGATTAATTAACACACATCCCCCCTCCCCCTTCCTGCCCAAGATAAACTGACCATATATGGTTTACAGTTTAACTGTGATATCTGCATTTTCTGGCCAAACAGATCCAATGTCATCTAAAAATAAGTTGCCTTTTCCAACACTCTTCTTAAAGTGGGGTGAATCTTTTCTCCCAAAAATGGGATACCAAAACCCAAATGGGGATATGTAAATATGAGTAACGAATCTGCAACTTATTCTTTTAACAATAAAGGTCTTTTTTCCACGCTTCTATGCATACTGGGCATATAGGGTTAGACCTATATTTTATAGACCAATTGGCGCTTGAAGCGTGATGTGGCCAATATCTCACCTGCCGCCTTTACTTCCCAGGACAGTACTTGGTACTCATTCTATGCTGGGTTGACCTGGCAGCCACGTAGAGCAAAATTTCCAGCACAAAGCAAGGATTTGACACCTAGACCTAGGGACTGGCAGCGAGCATCTAGCTGTGACTACACTACTGCAAATCTAAATTCATGTATTTATTGTTTTACTGTGTTATGTAAAACAAAACACACACAAAAGCGCAACAACAAAACCAATAACACAAAACAGTTAAGTGAACAAAAAAAAAATAAAGCTTGATGCTACAACTTCACTGCACAACTGTGACTTAACATGGGGGAGAGAGAATATGTACAAGCCATGGAGAGGAAATAACTTATATATACAACAATTTCAAAGACACTTGAATTGGAAGCACCAACATGCAGAAACACATGCAACAGAATACAAGAACTCCAACTCAGGTAAACTCATACCCAGACTGGTGATGGGTAGGTTCCACTGCTCATTTCCTCCTCTAGTGTGCTGTGACTGCTGGGGTCTTGCATGGACTGCAGAAAGGCAATATAGATACCAATAGTTTTAGACTGAACTTGGGTTATCTTGAACCCAAAAAATGTACACACATATACAAATGCATTTACATAGGTGCTTTCACACAAACATGCACAGGCTCACATATACATATATATGTTCACACACACACACATACATACAGGATTGCATATTCATAAATATGCTCACATAAACATACACAGGCTCATTATTTACACACACACACACACACACCCACCCACCCACACACACACACATATATATATATATATATATAAAATGTTCACACAAACATACAGGCTCAATATACATATATATGTTCACACAAACACAGGCTCAATATACATATATATGTTCATACATAAACATACACAGGCTCATATATTCATATGTAGGTATATGTTTTTTGTGTGTGTGTGGTGCACATCATTACAAGGTAACTGCACCTTTTTAGCAAACTCCACAGAGACAGAGAGAAAAGGGGGAGAGAAACAGATACAGAGAGGGAGAGACATATATAAAGCAAGTGAGGGAGTAAGGACAGAGAAGGAGTGACAGAGAGCAACAAAGAGTGAAGCTGCAGACGGACAGTAAAAATATACTAATGATCTCGTCACATGACAAAGAGACCAACACTAAACTTGAGGGTAGCAAACCACATAACACACAAGAATACCAGTATCAAAAGTAAAGTAAAGGACCCTTTTCCACGCTTTCAGACGTACTGGGCATATAGTATCAGACATATATTTTATGGACCAATCGGCCAACCGCCTTTACTTCCTAGGTCTGCACCTGGTACCCACTCAAAGCTGGGTCAACATGTGAGCCACGGTCATTTTTTGAACAAAAAAGACCATCATTGTCAGGACCTGAACCCACAACTTTCTGATCCACGGGAAAGCATCTAGCCACTAGACCACGGCGGCTTCCTAAAGTATACATCAAAGAAAAACCACTTGTCTCCTGCTGAGGTAATTCCCCACCTTTCTCCTCAACCACAGCATATTTTCTGGTAAACAGAATGAATGCTGTGCATTTTTTCTGATGTGTGACTGGTTTTTCACCTTTTCTGAACTGCACTATGGTTGGGAGCAGATGGAGACTTGCTTCAGCAGAAGGCCAGCATTTCAAACAATTTCAAATGAACTGTTTTCATTTGAACTTTCCCATAACTGGCAAATTTTAAGAACTTCATTTTTCAAGTCCCAAGAATCACTGCGACTGAAAACCTGATAAAACAGTTTGTGGGCTTTGATGGTAACTTTAGTAAGCTGAATAGGGAATTGTGAAATACTTGAACATACACATTGTTATTAAAAGAACTGAGGTACACATTTTGGATGTGTGTGAGAATAATATACTACTCTGAACTCCATTTATTTTTTATTTAGAATGACAAAAAATTTTTTTTTTAAATATTCTGCATTTTAAAAGAGATTTAAACAGAACAGTAACTGACCTTCCTTTCGTCTAATCTTCGTTGACGTATGGATGTTCGCACTGCATCAATCCAGCTGTTCATATCCTCTGGTGTGTCACACTACAGAAAACAGAACTCATGATTATCAAACATGTTTATAAACAACTTACAGCAACAAAAACACGTAATTGTATAACAGTTTACACCAGTGATTCCCAAACTGTGCACCGCAGCATCCGGGGGAGCTGCGACCTCTTCATAGCAGCGCAGCGAAATATTATAAGATAAGTTTTTTCTCTCTCTCTCTCTCTTATACATGTGAATAGTCATACTTTTACTTAGGACGCCATGGAAAAATTTGTATTGGGGAAAAAAGGCGCGCCAACTAAGAAAAGTTTGGCAAACACTTGTTTACACGATTACGAAGAACATTTCAGCAATAATTTTCTTTTAGCAACACCGGAACTCTAGGCTAGTATAGTAAGTATAAAGTATACAAAGGACCCCACCCATAAACAGCTCATCAGGCAAACAGTGCTAGACCTATATTTTTAACACATCAATCAACACTCGATGAGTGATGTGGTCCACATCACACAAGCTTCCTAGGACATTTTTTGGTCCCAATTTGCAGGCTGGGTGCCAAGACAAAATTTAAAAAATCTGCCTCAATGATGATTCAAAACTGAGCTCTTTGGTTCAGCAGGCAATTTCCTTATTGCTTCATAATTATTTCAATACTAGTTTAATGAAAAATACCCATAAGCTTTGTTTTGAATAAGTTAAAATTTCCCCTTTTTTTTTAACATGGTCAAAAGAAATTTGAGCTGATCTTTAATGTCTGATTTTGTTAATATATGGCTCATATATACTGTAACTCATGGCCAACGAAAGAAGACTACTGTGTATGATTGAGAGATAATGTTGTGCAGAATTAAATACCCCTCAGTTTCTGTAACTTTTGTTTTTCTATTATTTCTGCACATCTGGAAACAAACTTGACAATTTCATGAGATCACATGGAGCACACACAAACATCATGTGGAACAAACTAGTTATGTCACTTGCCAGTACATTCTTTCTTTTTATTTCTGAGGTTAGCAACAGTTGATTATGCCCATCTTTATAAAAGATCAGTATGCCCAACTTCAGTTTTCATTTGTGAAGGTTTTTTTTTTCTCTAGGCCAATTCCATCTAAGGCAATGGAGACTAAGAAAGTTTTTCTGTCAGGTCTTTAGCCCTAAAGTCTTCCGCTTCTTCAGTATTCTGCACCTTTGAAGTTCATTGCTGCATATATCACCAACCTCCATTCATCTCTGCGACTGATCTTCCCTTTCCAATTGGTGATTCCAAGTTTAGGTAGGTCTTTTTGTATATCTTCTCTCCACCGTCTCCTTGGTCTGTTTAGAGGTCTAACCATTCATCTTCTTTGTGTGTCAGACTCAATTTCTCTGTTATCTGCCATTCTCTCTAAACGCCACAACCATTGCAATTCATTAGCCATCATGATGCCAGAAATTTAGTGGTGATTTAAACAGATAATAAATTCTCAATCTCCATCTTCCGCTGTTTGCATCTTTGATGGGTCCTAAGATTTACTGTAATGGTCTTACAGCCTACTCTCTTCAAATTCCAACAGCCATGAGGTTTAAGGCCTGCAAAAATCTGACAAGTTAACTCCTGTTTCTCACCCTCATCTGTGAATACTAATAATCCCACTTAAGTAGCCAATAAACAAGGGAAACACTCACCTGTATATAAAAAATTCTCTTTGATGTGAGTACCTCAAATAAGTTGTCCCTGTTTGGATGAGCCCTGAAAAAATTTTTTAATGCAAAAAATGTGATTGCTCAACAAATAATATGCTGAAGATTTAAGTCAGATTACATTTACATATAAATACACTGTAATAACTAAACTGAGTGCCTAAGTATAACACAGACAGCTTTGTGTTGATTTAGACAACAGTATGGAGCGCTGACTGTTCAGAGGGCCGTGGCAAACTAATGAATATAAAAGTAAGTAAAACCAAACAGTTAAAAAAAAAAAAGATAGGGGACTGTTTCTGCAACATCATGTAAGAGATATGCCTGTTTAGTTTAGTTGCGTATCCTTTACAGGATGTTGCAGAACCAACTCCAGCATTTTTTAGCTGTTGTGGGTTTTCTAGGCAAGTTAACGTCCAGTAGTTTGCCACTGCTTTCTGGACAGTCAGCTTCTCAATACCACGGTAAAAACCAACACAAGGTGCAAGGCATGCAGCTGGGATTGAACCCAGCACCCGGCATTACGAAGCGCGTTCGCAACGCCTAAGCCACAGATGTCTGTTTAGTACACCCTTGAAAAATCACACATGATCACTGTTTTCCATACCTATTATCTGAAGGTGTGATGACTACATCTACTGCCAAGTACCAGTTGGTCTACAAAATATAGGTTTAGCCTTCTTTACCCAATGCACCTGAAGTTTGGGAAAGGGTCCTCTACTTTACTTTATCGGAAAGTAAATAATAATATATTATATATGCCACAGAAATATCTGAGACACACTGAAAAGTACTTTATACGAAATACACAGAAAGGCACATTCCAGAGTTCTGTTCCTGCCCTGACGCCACAAGGCATTCCAGGAGTAGAGAAAAGAAAGATATAATATATATGGAATGTAATGTGTAGAATATAATAGACTGAATACTATTTTATTTATTCAGCAGACTAGTGTATCTATTTTCATGTCTATAAAAAAAAATGAAAAATACAGAACAGATAAGAAAAGCAAAATCTGACTATTATAATACTTACTTTTACTTTTACTTTTTCCTTCCACGTATGCCGCTAAGCGTTGTGGGGAGATGCAAGTTCCTGTCGTAAGCAAGGCGGGCAGCATCTGATGTTCTGAGGCCATGCTTTTGGCAGGTTTCGGAGACCCCGTCAATCCACCGTTTCCTTGGTCTTCCTCTTGCCTTATATCCTGAGCTTCTTTGGTTGAAAATTTGCGATGTTATTTGATCATTATTCATCCTGGTTAGATGTCCAAACCATTTCATTCTTTGATGTTCTATGTAGTCTAAACACGGTGTAGTTTTGACAGTGTTTCTAATGTCTATATTCTTTATCCTGTCTAGTCTAGTCTTATTCGCTGCTTTTCTTAGACATTTCATTTCACAGGCTTCTATTTTTCTTTCGTGGGTCTTGTTGATTGTCCATGTCTGGTATTGTATTATAATACAATTACTCATAAAATCTTATTGTCAGTTAAAACTGGCTAACTCAATAAATTTGTTAAAAGTGTGTGAACATGCCATTGTAATTAAAGAAATGCACTCACCCGACAGCAGCTTGACGAGCTTCTAACAGATCTTCTATAGGTAATGTCCTGATTGGATGTTTATCCTGATTGCAAATAAGAAGTGAAATTCACAAATGTTTTTGTATTATAAATTTTTTAGGGGTATTTTTATTTATACACACAAGAGATAAAAATTATAAAAGTGCAGTTGACTAATGAGATAAGTCTCAGCATAATAAGAATATTTCTTTGATAATAATGTGATTTATTTGATACAAATTTCAATATATCTGTTTTTAAACATCCTGTATGAATCCAGATTTATGTGGCCAAATTTTTTAATTTGTTTGTTTGAAACCTAATTGTGCAGCAGCTACCATTTCTTGTCTAAGAGTGCGAGAAATTTCTTGTAAAAATATTCAATTTTTGTTCAGCCTGTTTAAATCAGTAGCTGCACTGTATCTTTACAATAGAGCTGTAATGTGTGCACCTTTCGATCTGTCTCCATCTTGACATAGATTGTTCAAGCACTTCATACACCCTCTGATGCCAACCTGAGCATATTTAAATGTGGCATTTTTGAGGTTTTTGACATCAAGTCAGGTTCTCAGACTCAGCAGGTTCTTGTGCTGGTTCCAGGATTCCTTTAGGGATGCGGGAGGTGGTTGGGGAGGGGGGTAATGAATAGACCCACTATGTCGTAAAATGCTACTAAGATTTCGTTACCTGTAAACCACAATATAAGGCGCCAATTACCCTTCTAACTCTTCTGCACTGAGAAGCTGTACTTAGTAGATTGCCCTACGTCCAGTAAATGTCAATATACGGTCAGCTATGCAAGTGACCTGCTCTCGAAAAGCATAGTTAAATTTCCATGGTCTTGAATATGCCTGAGCAGTGTTTAATATGCCAGGATATGAATACAGTCATATAAAAAAATTATTGAGAAATTGGAGGGGGGGGGGGGGGGGGGCGCCTTTTAACCTCAATAGCTTTATAAAGCCAATATATCATATAAAATTTCCATGTAAGCTTCAGTGAAAGAGTTCATGGGGACACAGCACTCGTTACCTTTAGTTTTTTTGTTTTGTTTTTTTTTTTTTGGATTAACACTCCAGGGAATTTATATACCATTGAATGCATCACTCCATTTGTGTTTATTCATTACCTCTTTATAAATCTTTATATGTTCTGATGAGGAGCGGCTGGCTGAACGGTTAGAATGCTGGGCTCTCAAGTGGGAGACTTACTTGCACAGTCGTGGCGACAGCACTAGCCATGCGGCCATGAATCCTCAGGCTCAAAGACCCCCGCTCCCCCCTTCTGCCTACACTGCAAAAGTGGTATAATAAAGGCAGTATATATTCTGACAGAAAAAAGTGTTCATAAATTAAAAAAAAAATTGTCAATGTTTATTAATGATCTGTGTAATATGTTTTGTTTTCTTTTAAACTGCAATAGCACATTTCTACTATCCATACCCACGGAGGACTACAGGTTGCACCAGTCAGGTTTACCTTACAGGTAAACCAATTACAACTTCCTCTGAATTTCAGTAAGGTAACAGGGATATGCCCTGTTGGCTTGCCATCCATTGTGATTTGTCAAATCTCACGGTGGTCACATTGAGTAAATGTTAACATCAGTCTAATTCAAAACTTACTTGTTCTGACTTGAAGTATGAAAGCCCTTGTTGATGAAGAACAAAATATCTTCGTTTCCAATTTTTTCTCTGTGAATGTGATAATACAAAAACATTTGAAGGAAAAAACACTTGTCAGTGCTACACATATGTTCAGAGTTCATGCATACACAATAGCACTTTACTTTTTTAAAACAGTGTGGTTTATTAAAAGGTGTGTGTCTGTGTAAGAGAGAGAATAAATTTTGAGGGTAGTGCTACGTTTTATTCATTAGTTGGATTTGGAGAAAACAATAGTTACCCCTTCAAAGTATTCGGCAGGAGGGATGTGAGTGCGTGCATGGGAGGCAGGCATGCTGCCATTCAGGTAATGAAGAACTAACACAACTTCTGAGACAATGTACCTTTGCCTACCAATGGAAATCTAATAAGAACAATATTTTGGAGACTTTTAGGCTACCAATGTCAAACATGGGCCCATACTACAACTAATGAGAGGAAAACACAAAGATGTCTTAGAAGAGCCGCCAGAGTAAGAAGAAGAGGTAAAATTATAAATGAAGAAATTAGGAGAAGATAAGGACTAAAATCTGAAGGACTAAAATCTGACATACAATTCATAAAAGGACAAGAGATTAAATGGTTTGGCCATCTGATGAGAATGTCCTAGTGCCAACTGTCCCAAGAAATGGTTATAAAGTAATATGAGTATAATGCAAGAGGAAGTCTACATTAAAGATTTAAAGACAGTATAACTTATGCAATGATAAACTTATGCAATGTATCAGAAAGTGCACATACATCCTTAGACCTCTCCCAAAACTTCAATGAGATAGCTGGAATAAGAGGAGGAGCAGCAGAAGAAGATATACTACCATACATGTTTTTAATCATGAAGGAAGTGATGATTCTGATAATGTCCACCTGCAGCTGGTCTGTTATCTTGCAAATGTTCATGGTCCCTATTTAGATAAAATTTGAAATTCAGAAGAAAAAAAAAGACATGGGAGTCACATAGCCTCAGATCAGGCTAAACTGGTGGGTGCAACACCACAAGAAATATTTCTGGTAAAAACTGGGTCAGGAAATGTCATTTGTTTTTCACACATCATTGCTACACATGAATAAAACATGTATTAACATTAATAAGCTGAAACATGTATGGATCATCCAGTAGGAATGTGCCTGTTGGTTGTTCTACAGACAAAGTGTGCTGGCAGTTTTCAAGTGCACTGTCACACAGTAAATATTTTCAGGTAACATGTCCCGTGTGGTCGTGGTTCTTATCTCTACATCACGACTATACAACTAAGTTTAATCCTGGGACAAAACAGTTGACAACAGGAATCATCACAGGCCAGAAGCCTGAGCCCGAGGTAAGAAATATAAATACAATACAAATGGCACTGATCCGCAGGCCATTTGCTAGGCTTCTGCAGGCCGAATTCAGTTCGCTGGCCACCAGCTGAATAGAGAGGCTCTACAGTTAGGAATCTATAAAAGAAAGCTAGACAACACCACCCCACCTCCACACAGTATATGGTCTATTATTTCCACGCAACTTGACATGACATATTCCCTGACATTATGCTTCTATCTGGTGTATTAAGTCTCTATTCAGAACAAGCAAAGTCTGCTATTCATCTGCTTATTTTTTCAAACATGAGCAATGTACAGTCAACAATATAAAATTTTACAACAAAAAAGAAATGCCTATTAACTCAGTTCCAAAGAACACATCAAGCGCTAATTGATTACAACCTAGTGGCCCAATCGGTGTGTTACGAGTGAAGGTTTTTTATTTTACAAATGACCAGTAATAAAACCACTCAATTTCAACTTGTTTTCCAATTCTTTGTGTTTGGTATCATCAGACTCCTTCAAAAACGTGGTTAAATGCCTAAAATATAGTGTATTTGCGATGTTCATTGAGTTATCAAGTGTTTGTTTTAAAACAATATGGCTGCCGAGTAGTATTCTTCATGCATGCCAACATGATTCATGGCTTTAGAAGCCTCAGATTTAAATAAATGATGAGTTTACTTGATTTATCCCAAGTTAGATAATGTTGCGAAGTAGACTTGATTCAGCCATTTACAGTTTCAAATTTTGATGAGGGATAGCTTTAATAATGTGTAACTCACACAAAGGGTAAAGCAATAGCAAAGCCAGTTAGCACAAACAGAATATTAGTGAAAAGAAGGTAATTTTCTTTGGTGTCAGTTCTAGTGCTATTCTCCTTATTATTCAGAAAAACTGTCAAAATTAGAAGCAAAGTGAGTGTTATTTAAACTGTTTTGTGTAAAGATAATTGTTTTGGGAAATAAGTTCCATTTACCAAAAAATGGTGCTCTGTTATGATGCTTCAATTTCTATAAACATACAGTCTATTTACTTATTTTTAACTACTAACAAAATTATTTTGTTCTAGCAGTATTCTTCATAAAAATTCAATACAGCTCAGCAACTGGTTAATGTTTACTTGAAAAAACAAACAACAAGAAGAATGAGGCAACAAAGGAACTCTGTTTTTACCCTGACACTTACCTAAAAGAAGAGAGACATTTTGTTTATCTTGTGACGTAGAAAATAGTGGTTTGAGTGGGGGTCTATGGGTCTATTCCCCCCCCCCCCCCCCCCCCCCAAACCCGGGACCCCAGAATCAACACAAAGAAAGTATTAGGTTTACAATTTTGTAAACTAAACAGTAGATTTGAAGAAAAATACAATAAAGAAGTGAACATTTTAGCATTCATGAACAAAACAGACAAACTTACAACTGCACCCTGCTTAACACAGAATCCTTTCTTGATGGACAGTAAATTTGAGGCTTTACTATGATCCAAGCTGCTGCTCATGTCTTTAGTAAAAGAACTGAGGCCCCGATTCAAAGATGAAGATGGAGATAATCGCCCTGACGAGGATGACTTTGATTCATCATCATCAGAAGCAGTGTCAGATTCCACATCTGCAGACTGTACAGAAAAAAAAAAATTTACAGGTGAAGATTCCTATGTAAGATTTAAGTGAACATGTAAATTTTGCATCCATTACTATAATTCAACCCTTAAAAATTAGTGTCACAATGTGTTGTGGTTTACAGCAAGGCCTTTTGTCCCAACACATCCGATTTCAACAAACCCCTAATTAGCTGCCTCATGATAGATCCCCCAACAACAAATGCTATTTCTTTGTAAATATCCCTGCCACCTTTATAAACACAGCATCAAAGCTGATCTACAGGCATGGAAGGAACTAAGAATGGTAAAGTTGAAAGGGCAGCTGCTACTCAAGGATTTGTAATGGATGGCACTGCTGAATCAGGGCAAAAGGGGTTACAGTTTGCATACATTTTCTGGCAGACTGTACAATTACTGTTTTTGAAAGCTTACTGATGTTTAAACATGACTTTCGATCGTTGCTTTGTAAACCAATGTCTAATCAGCAAAAATTGGGCTTATAAACTTATGCTGAATGTTATGTTTCAAGCACAGCCTAGATTACCTGAACAGGCATCTTGCAGACCACCCCTCCTGCAATTTCTGTAACATAGGCCTCTTGGTTAACATCTGCTGCATGCCATTCTTGTGTTGTTTGCCGAATTGATTTTTCTGGTACCTAAGGATTATATATTATTGATTAGCAGTTCATCCTCAAACATATCAAAATATTCAGCCCATATGTGCTCAGCTTTCCTCCCCATAGAGCAGATATTAAATCAATAATACCATACATAATTTTATATTTATGTCAAATAACTCATAAAATAAATGACACAAAGTAATTTTTAGAACCAATTTAGACAAACAGTAACTTTAAAGAGTCTCAAAACAGAAACTTTAAAAGAGTCTCTAAAAACATTGGACTAAGAGCAAAATATATTTTTTTTACCAGTATTTTTCTTTTTAAATATTTCAGACAGATAAGGTAAGCTACTAGGATATTAGCCTCATCCAGATGTAAACTAAATACAATGAATGGCAAAGTGCTGTTTAACTGTGGAGAGGAATAGCTGGATGGGCATTTAGAATGATGTGCATTCATTTATGAAAGCTGGGTTGGAACTTTTGGTAAGATCAAACTTTAAAAAAAAAATGTTTAATGTTAAAGAATCAACATCACAGCACTCAGGACATTCCCATAAACACCCTATCCCCATCTTAGCAACAGGTGCAGAGTTACAATTTCAGTGGTAACAACAGCAGTCTAATTGTATATCTGTCTCACCTCTTCCCTGAGTGCTGATAGTTGATTAAATCCCGCGGTCACTCCTCACAATACCATTCTCTTCACACCATGATGTTCCATCTGTGCTTCCTTACTGTTCCCTCACCCCTAAAGGGCCCTTATATCATCTTAGTTTGTCAAGCATCAGTTCACCACCAAGTCACCAAGTTTTACAGAACCAGCCAGTCTACCTGTTTATTTTCAAAATACACGGGCATACCCTGGGGAAAAAATCCAAAGGATGCTAACTACCCAGTACCTCTAAAGCTTATGTTTGCTACTCTTCACTGAGCATACCAGTCTCTGCCTTTCTGAGAATGAAAATGCTTAGACCAAGATGTTTCTGAACTAAATCATGCTCTCCCTGTGGGTTCCAAGGTCCCACTGTGGGGGAAAAAGAAGAGACCCACCCGCCTACCCAAATGCATGTCTAAGGAGTCGGCTAAGGGGGACTTTCTAAGTCCAAATAAATTAACAACCAGGACTTTCCACCAGAGCTTACAGCCGGTGAACAAAGAAGGAGAACTAGTCATGAGAACCTAAATCTTTAGGCTCAAGACCTCCTCTCCCACTTCTGCCCTACACTCCTCAGACTAATGCAGAAAGCAACGACAGCTACTTACTGTAATTTTACTGGCATTGTTTATTGCTTCAATCCACTGCCACTTGTCTGGGTCTTCTTCGGCTTGCAAGAAATACAGCCGCCCAGCAACTGTTACAGCTGAAAACCAAGCAAAACCAGTCACATATAATCATCATCTTTTTTTGCCTTGCCGATAAGCATTGTAGGTCATGTTTCACTCTCACATGATAACCAGAATCAAGGATTAGGTCAGTGCTTTTCTCTCACCCTATCAATGTGGCCATCTCTGTTTTCCTCATCAATCTTGCCAGCTGTTACCAAGTTCTTCATCCATTCCTTTTAGCCTGTCCACACACACACAAAAACACTGCCTAATTTTTCTGACCAGTTTACGACTTCCACTTGTCTTGAGGAGGAATGCCTCGTCTGTTTTTTTTTCATGCCATGATATTCTATGTATTCTCAAAAACCATGGAATTTTCAGCTTGTCTGCTCTCTCTGTCTCTCTCTTTCTCTCTCTCTGTGTGAGTGTGGGTTGCGTGCGTATAATAATATAACAACACCGGTTGTATATAATACTTTAAAATATTTTTTTCTCACTGCAACTGACATATTTTTTATGGCCACTTTTGCCATGGTGATTTTAGTTCTAATCTCTGCAATGCATCTTATATTAGATGTTATGATTTGTTCCGAAATTTATGTTATGATTTAATATAACAGTTGCAAAATGTGGTGCCATCCAACAACTTTTAAGCTGTACATCAGCATCATCATGGTATAGGAAACAGAATGTAACAAAATATGACTAAGAAGCTAAATAAGAGTAAGAAACATGGCATTTGAAAGCAATGATGATGTTCGAGGCATTTTTCTAGAAAGAAAGGTGCCGGTACTCGCCACAAAGTGTCTTAAAAAAGGTGCCGGTACTCATTACAAAGTATGTATTATAGTTTTGCTAAAGAAAAAACAATACCTTAAAAAAAGTGCTGGTACAAGACAAAAAAAGCCCTGATGGTGACAATGAGGGTGAACAACTGTAAAACTTACTAAAGCAGTATTTAACTTTGGGCCTCAGCTTTGCACCATCACTGACCTAGAAAATGGAGATAATTGAGAACATTAAAATGAAACATTTAATTTCATAGTATGGTAGTGAAACTGAAGTCGGAGTGATGGTAATTTCAACGTTCAGTCTTGTCAAGTTGAAAGAAGCTGCATTTTCAGTATTGCAATGACTGACTGACTTTCTACACCACCAGGACATCACACAAGCGATAAACACCTGATGACACCATGTGGATGAGGATCACCGTGGAGAGGTCCCAGAAACCGCGTTCAGCCATTAGGCAATATTTATGACCGGGCTATATTGCGGCCACCGGCAGGAGCCAGAGTAGGGCTTCAAATAACGAAAAATTGCATCCTAAAAAGGACGGCAAGATTATGATAAGTACTGCAACAACACTAACTGGATCTAATGGTTTAGGTCAATCCCTGGGCTAATGTGGACAAATATTTACATATTCTCTAGTCTGCATGAGAAAGTTTTATAGATTATCATCCTATTTTTCCCCCGTTCCTACTTTTTCTATTGCTTTTAAGAGGGTGGAATTAGCAATTTGTTGTGGTTTACAGCTAGCCTGCAATATATGCTCCTTTTGGTCTAACACACGCCATTTTAGCGAATCCTTAGTCATCTTTTACAACATGCCTGTAAAGGGGCAGCAAGTATTCTTCCTCCCCTTAAAAGGGGACACTATAACCCATTTAGGGGATAGTAGATTATAAAAGTGTGGCAAGTTTAGAAGTCAAATTACTTGTAGAGTAAGTTCAGTGCTGCACAGCATCATCAATATTACCAATGTTAAGAGGCTGTACCAAGCTCAGAGTCCCTATCTGGTCAGAACAGTTCAAACTTATCACATCTGTAGATTGAGTTGCAGGCAGACTGCCTACCACACTTGCAGACTGAACTTAAGACTGACTGTCTATCATGTCTGCAGACTAACTTGAGGTTGACAGCCTATTACACCTGCAGACTGAACTTGAGCTTGACAGCCTATTACACCTGCAGACTGAACTTGAGACCAACCGCCTATCACACCTGCAGACTGAACTTGAGACCAACCGCCTATCACACCTGCAGACTGAACTTGAGACTGACTATCACACCTGCAAACTGAACTCCAGACTGACTGCCTATCACACCTGCAAACTGAACTTGAGATTGACTGCCTATCACACCTGCAGACTGAACTTGAGACCGACTGCCTATCACACCTGCAGACTGAACTTGTGACCGACTGCCTATCACACCTGCAGACTGAACTTGAGACTGACTATCACACCTGCAAACTGAACTCCAGACTGCCTATCACACCTGCAAACTGAACTCCAGACTGCCTATCACACCTGCAAACTGAACTTGAGATTGACTGCCTATCACACCTGCAGACTGAACTTGTGACCGACTGCCTATCACACCTGCAGACTGAACTTGTGACCAACTGCCTATCACACCTGCAGACTGAACTTGAGACCAACTGCCTATCACACCTGCAGACTGAACTTGTGACCGACTGCCTATCACACCTGCAGACTGAACTTGAGACCAACTGCCTATCACACCTGCAGACTGAACTTGTGACCGACTGCCTATCACACCTGCAGACTGACTGACTGACTGACTATGTTCAACCCCACCAGGAAGCATGATGAGCGACAAAACACCTGATGACACAAAGTGCCACCATTCGGATGAGAATCACCCAGGTGCAAGTCCCAGAAATCCCGTTCAACTGCTAGGTTATATTTAGGGCCACTGACAAGAGCCGGGGTGGGGCTTTAAAAAAAATTTCTATCCCATATTGGGGCAGTAACAATACTTGAGACCTCTGTGTTGGTAGGTGATTGCAACAGTTAATATACAGCAACTATTTATTATAAATTATACCAATTTTTCCACTTTAACTCTTTCAGTTCCAGAAAGTTTGGCAACCACTAATAAAATCAAGACTACACTGTTTTCAGAGATTTTATACAATGAAAGTGGCCAGAGAGAGAACCTGACATCTTTAGTATGATCAAAGTTCAGAAGTGAGATAACATGTGACTGGCCTTTTGAAATTCAAGAGTTGCACCAATAATGCTTTATTCTATCATAGAAAGGTATTATATTAACCCATTCTTTCAAGATTTATTCATTTTTGTCCTATGTGTCTCTTTTTAACCCCTTTCAACTCAGATATTTTAGTACTTGCACGCTCAACACCTTAGCAACAGTGAAATTCAAAACAATGTTTACATCACTCACTAATTACTAATTACAAGCATCACTTCAGAGGTCCCGGGTAGTTAGCTTCCTTTGGATATTTTTTTCAAGTTATGTCAGTGTGTTGGGAAATGAGCAGACAGACAGAGACTGGACGGCTCTGCACCACTTGGTGGTGAATTTATAAATGACAAGCTAGATATTGTGAGGGCCCTTTGGGAAAAAGTGAACAGAAAGGATACACAGATAGATCATTACTGACTGAGGAGAATGGCACTGCGAGGAGTTAACAGGGGATGTTGCCTGACACTCAAGACTCAAGGGAAGGATGAGACGGATATACAATCAGACGGCTACTGGTGCCATCAGAATTGGAAGTCTTCGCTTGCTGCTTAAGATGGGGACATAGCACTTATGGAAGTGTCAAGAGTGCTGTGATGTCGATTCTTAATTCAACATTCAACCACTAATTGCTGGAATCATAAGGACTACTAACTGCAATGGTTGGGGCACCGAGACATAAATTAATACACAAAGAAGTTAAATGAAAATAGGCCACGTGTGACAAAGTCATCAAACCATATTTGGCTCATGCTCTGACGGTGGTATATTTATTGAACGTGTCTTTTGTTTCATTGGTGTAATTTTTACAGAAATCCCTGGAGAACCATCGCTGGAGCTAGGGAGTTCATGCTCTGTGTGACGTTCGCTGCAGATGGCTAGCCATTCTGCACAGAGAAACAGAGCTGTGTGGGATAACATGAGGTGTGATGAAGTCAATCCTTACGACTGTAACCTTAACTTAGACCAAGAGGAAAACCAAGAAGGCGGTACAGAGATAAAATACAGGCAACTTACAAACAATTGGTAGTCACCAACTAGAAAATTATGAATTATGAAAAAGATAAATGGCGGCGAGTGAATCTGCAGCAATTAACCTGTAGGGAGTTTCAAGTGAAGGAGGGAAAGGAGGAGAGGATGAGGAGTAGAATAATAAGAAAAAAGAAGTAGAAGTCCTTGGGACAGAACAATTACAAGTAACAACCGTCTGCAACAGAAAGAGATAAGCTTGCTTAGAATGTGTTGTGACATTTAAATGCTCAGTTTCTCTCTCACCTTTGATATATTGTGTATATTTATTTCTCCAACAGGACCTTTCCAAGCCTCAGGAAGATTCTGTGAAACAAAATGTAACAATATACCACCTGGAAAATTTAAAACTGAATAGTAATCTACCATAAAATTTTAATTATGGTTGTTCATGTGATTGCTTTCTTTACACCTGAGTGATACTCAAAGTCATGATTATCTTCATACCACAGTGATATACATGATAATGTGATGGGTTCCTTCACTCACCAGTGATATACAACTAAATGGTTTCTTCTAGATCATAGTGATACAACACAATGTAATGACTTCTTCCATATCCCAGTAATACATCATAATGACATGGTTTTCTTTATACCAGGTCATGATATTTGTCATACCACAGTAAAACACCAAAATGTCAAGTTTTATTTTTTTTAACAACAATGTCAATCTTCTTTACACCACAATAATGCAACACAATGTTATGGTATTCTAAACAACATAATGATATGATTTTATTTAAATCACAATGTGATAGTCTTCTTCTTATAACAGTGATACACCACAAAATTTCATAATCCTCTTTATATCACAATGATATAGCACATCGTGATAGTTTTCTTCTTACAAGTGATACACCACAATGTAATAGTTATCTTCATACCACTATGAAACTACTGTAGTCAAGCTGATATCAAGAAATAATACAACACAAACTGTGGTCAGATAGTTCAAGGAAGGAAATAGAAAGGAAACACACAAACACAAGCAAAAATCGGAGTAGTCAATACAACACAAACGAAAACTAGAAAGCTCAACAGATAAGACAACAGGGCTTATAAGCAGCAAGGTTACAATGACATAAAAAATTATCTGGAATATAATGCCCACCCCTAGCATAATTATGGTACACCAAACTCAAAAACTAAAGCATACTTACAGCTGGGCTATCCATGTAGTAAACTAGTTTACCATTATTTTGATCAAGAATAAAGTATCTGTGGATTAAAAGAAATCAAAAAAATTTCAAGCAAATTATGGAAATGGCTATAACATGCCTAGTTTAGGTTTAGAGGACGGGCACAAGTGTAGTAACCCATAAGTGCTCCGTTCTACTTCTGACACAAGCATGAGCCTGAAGAATCTCAGCGCAGTGCACAAACTTCGTAATACCAGCGAGGATCCTGAAATACTTTTGGCTAAATTTTTTACTCCAAATTTTACCTGGGCAGTGCTGATAGACTACTCTTTTTTTTTTTATTTCCAACCGCCAAAGGATTTTATTTTACACACGTGCCTCCGATCTTACTACCCAAAGACCAGGAAAAAATTACTAGAAGTCCACGTGAAAAAATCCCAGTCTTGGAGGGAGGTAATAAAAAACACTGAAAATGTGGCAAAAGTTTTGAGTAAAAAGTGGGGGAAATGGGATTGGGGAAGGAGGGGGGGGGGGGGGGGGGGGGGGGGGGGGAGTATTCATTATCATTCCTTTATCCAATGGTGCTTAAAGACTTTTCTCCTATGTCTGCTGAGAACTCTGGCAATTTGATATGGTTCCACAAAATGGGCATCGCATGCACATCAGTTTTACATATCTGGCTTATTTGTATGCAGTTTTGGTTCCTCGCCTCTCATGCAGATGCACTGTACTTTCAATTATATTCCATAATCTTCTTCTTTACGTGCTTCATCCTCTGTATGTCCTCTTTTACCGCTTCTGGTGTTAAGAGAGAGATAAGGTCCTGCTTCATGCTCTTCTGGCTGCTTCAACCATAGACACATTGTGGTGCTGTAGAGTTTCTCTGATGTTATCTTCCCATTTTGTTCTTGGTCTAACTCTAGCGCTACGTCCATCTCTTTTGGTATATGCTCTGTATGGTAAGCATCAGAAGGCATTCTTTCTTAAGTATCTTCACGTTTACCAGCTGTAAATTATGGCGGAAAGTTATGGTTGTTCGTCCATATCTGGACCATAGTCCAGTTCCAGAACCTGAGTGTTGCATGTGCATCCATTTTACAGATCCGACATATGTATACAGACTATTGGTTCCTTGCCTCTCAGGCAGATGCGCTCCGATTTCAAAGGGTGTTCCCAATTAGTCAGCTCTTACAACACGCTTTTGGGTAGGCAGTGAGAGTTTAGGGCCTCGGAACCACATGGGGAATATCCATAATAAGTCGCTTTTGCTGGGGGAGGGGGGCTATTCTTCACCTCCAACTCCCCCAATGAAGCACCAGAACCCATATGGAGAACCTGCTAAAACGGTCACTGATTACCATGTCACCACGGCTCTAAACTATGCAAACAAATGTAACTGCACTTACGGATTTAAACGACAATCAGCAGAACACGTACTTAACTATATACATTCGATTGTTTTTCATTTCGTTCGTCCCGTAATTGCGTGGTGCCTGCTTACAGCAAAGCTGCGATATTTGCGACCTCCGGCCGACACATCTGACTTCACTGAGCATTTGTTGACGGGGTTAACATTCACTTGTTTAAGACCTACCTATAACGGCAGCCAGGAAACGGCAATGTGCTTTGGCTATCCTCTAAATAACGGTCCCTAATTATCGAAGGCCGAAAATATACCCTAACAGAGCCTCAGTCACATGTAAACTGCAGACTTTTTTTCAGGGGACTATACCGCCACCGCTGAAAGTATCTCGGAGTGGGGCTAAACTAGATGGCTGGGACTCAGAAGCAAATAAAATGAAGGAATAAAATGAAGGAACATGCAGGATTTGCGGTAGCTGCTGCTCATAAGTCCCAGCCATCTAGTTTAGCTCCGCTCTGCGTCGCGCGTAGTGGCGCAGGAGATACTCTCAGCTGTGACTTTAACTCGGCAGAAGCTTTTCCGCAGTATGCTGTGTAGTCGCCGGAAAGAAGTCCGCAATTTACATGTGACTGAGGCCCTGTTAGGGTATATTTACGGCCTCGATAATTTGGGACCGTTATTCGAAGAATAGCCCACTTTTACATGTTTACCCACAGGTCACTAGTTCACATTCCAGTCAAGGAAATTATTTGGACCAGCTTGCAACTGGTTTCAAGGAAATGTCCAAAGAAGTAAAGGCGGCAATGAGGAAACTGATCACATTACGAACCAACTACTGGCTGATCTATAACATATAGGACTTGCATTATATGACCTACGGGCTTGAAGGTTTGGAAACGGATCTTCACTTTAGTTACATAATAGCGACCCTAACACACAAAGATGGGAGATCTGTCCGCCACCCTGCTGTCACGCCTGGTCACCTTTGATATAAACAAACACCCTGAATGCGCAGCGAATACCACCATGCAAATACACGTCAGACACACATAAAGCCAACGGTTTTAAAAACGACACTACCTGCGACAAAAACTGCCACTGTTTTCGGTCTCCTCTATATTCAGAAACCCGCACACACGTCCTTGCTTGTCCTGATAGGGCATCCTGCACACATATTACCTCGCTGTCAGCTGTTACAGGCTCTAGGCTTCACCTGGCAACGCTGCTCGCACGTTCTGTCGCCATCTGTAGAGAACAACCAAATACAAATCTCTAGTTTCCACGAACAAGTTCATCTGTCAAGGCTGTTCACTATCCAGTAAGCAGTCATGTTTGTATTTCGCACGAAACACAGTGAACTGGGTACAATCAACGCTTGTTTTTGTATGAGGCAACACGCCCGGGTTAAGCATGCTTTGGCAAAGAGGCGTCGGAATCAGGGGAAAGAGAGGTGGGGGAAGGAGCTCAGCCCTTTGAGGCCCACCAAACTAAAAAAAAAAAACGTTCGGGAGCTAAGCATTCTGAAATGGAGCTGAACTGCTCCTTGCATTCATATATATAAACTCCTTTTAAAAGTATGTGTTATTTTATACGATTTCAAAACTGTAGCCAGTGACAACCAGCTTGCTCTGCCCTTTGGGAGCGAGTGAACAGTGCCGAGGAACAGACAGATCACTGCGGTCTGAGGAGAATGGCACTGCGAGGAGTTACAAGAGGATCTGACCGACATTCGACACTCAGGGGAGGGCGAGACGGATATACAATCAGACTGTTACTGGTACCACTGGAATTTTAACTCTTCGCTTGCTGCTGAAGATGGGGACGGGGCGCTTATGAGAGTGTCCCGAGTGCTGTGATGTCGATTCTTAATTTAACATTCAGCTTGCTCTGGATCGCAAATGATCCCTGCACACCCGCTTAACGGCAGAAGTTGTTTATGATGATGACGATGATATTATTTCAAATATACTGTTATATTTGTTTCCATTCCGCGCATTTGCTCTTAAACGACGACTGAATCCCTTGGTCGCCCCCTCCCTTGCTCATGTTTGTGTGGTGTCGCCGCTGCTACCTTGGCAGGAACAGTTACATGAAATAAGCACATATTGACATAGGCAATGTTATTTACCCGTACTGGGCCCTCTGATTTCGTAGGTTCAACTTTCCTGCGTTTGGGGTAAACTGGGAGAGGGAAACAGCCAAATTATCTGACCTCAAGGTCGAATAGAGCATGCTTGTAATGTCATGTGCTCCCCGAACGAAGCAAGCCAAAAATTATTATTCTCAACCCAGTTAGGGCATTTTAAATTGCAACCGTTATATTCCGGAGTTCCCCCATGTGGATTCCGGTGGTGGGGGTGGATAGACTCACTGCCTTCTGAACAAGCATGTCGTAAGAGTCGACTAATAATGGGTTTCCTTCGAAGTCGGAGTGCATGTGCCGAAGAGGCAAGGACCCAACAGTCTGCAAAAAGAGCTAGCAGAGGAGACGTAGAAAGCAAAATTGGGAATCTTGACTCTGAATGAAACCAAGAAAAAAGGGGCAGGGAATCACAGATCACGATGGAAGTATGCTGTCAAGAGTTCAATCAACCAATTGACAGTTCTTTTGCTTCTGTGTTATCTATAGTTTTTAGCCATATGGGTTTTATTGTCAACTATTAAAAACGCACTATCATATGACCATGCTTTTTGTGTGTGGGTGTGGGGGCAGTATATACTAAATCAGTGATTCCCAAACTGTGCGTCGCGGCCTTCCAGGGAGCCGCGACCTCTTCAGATGGGCCCCGTGAAAAACTGTAAAAGCATCTTAATTAACTTAACCAAGACATTCGGCCTTAACTAATCAAAAACGCGAGAATCTAAAATTATCTAGATTTTGTTGCTGTGTGATTTGTTTTTATTTTACCCTGTATGACAAAAAGGGTGCTGGAGCAGAATATATTTGCGAACGCGTGCCGGCAACGCGGCGTCTTCTCAATGGCACCATAAGATCGCACTAAACACTAGATCTTCTTCTTTCTCTTTCCATACTCCTGAAATGTATTGCGGCGTCAGGGGAGGAGATATCTCTAGAACGGACCCTTCTGGTCGCTTCGTATGTAGTACTTTTCAGTGTCTGATATTTCTGCGGTCTATCTTCTATGCGGTCGATCTCTGGGTCTGTTACCACTGTATATGTATAACATTGCTCTCTGTGGTGCTCTGTCTGCTGCCAATCTTGATACATGGCCAAACCATTTCATTTGTTGTCTACCTATAAATTTCAGTATTAGTTCTGTGCCGATTCTCCTCCTGATACTTGCAACAGATGGAGCGGCGGTAGCTTAGTTGCGCTTGACATCCAGGCCGAAAGTCTTGGGTTCCAATCTGTATCGAAGGGAATTTAATTTCTTCAAAATTTACCTTGGTTCCCAGGTCGACCCAACCTAAAACGGGTACCAGTAATGTCATGGCAAGTAAAGGCGGCCGGTTTGATGCTCACCGTATGACCTATGGAGTGCCGATTGATTTATAACAAAGGCTTCTGCTTTCTTTTTGGCGTTTGCCGGCTGTAAGCTCCGGTGGGAAAGGAGTCTAGCTTCATATGCCCGACGCGCTAGGGCGTTAAATGTTTCCATTAAGTTACTTACACGGCAACATGACAATCTTAGTGTGAAACACACAAACACTGTAATATTTAAACGACCAGTTTTACAAGCAGACATCCAACTTGCTCAATCTGCAATCGTCTTTATTTCTCCCCCAGAAAAAAAGGAAGAGTTCACCAAATCAAGGTAAATGGAGAGAAAAAGAAGAATTCGCGAAAGGTAATTAGGAAGAAAAAATGGCGCCGTCTGACAAGATAAAATGTGCAACGCGAGTTTGTACTAGCCTACCTGAGCAGCGACTGAACCTCATGTATTTTTTTTTTCCTACTTCCAAAAGGCACACGGTAATCTGCAACTCTTCAAGATCTCAGGGTTAAGTACACCATCAGAACACCAAGTTCCGTCTACTGGCACACTGTACTGTACTGAAATCTCATACCATCATGCGTGGTTAACTCTTTTGGTACCACCCATTTTTGTTACTTTATCCAAGCAGTTGAGCTTATAAGCAGTAAATATCTGGGTTTGAAGAAGTCCAACAGAAACACTATAGGACATAAGTGCTTACACTAACAGTTCCTATACAAAGAGCTTATATAACGTATGACTGCGAGAAAAGACAACTTCTTCTTTTGCCTTCCGCTTATGCCGAAAAGCGCGCAGAGAGCAGCTAGATGTAGTTTCCTTTATTTTGCTAGTTGCGTTGCTTGTCTCAATGTCATACTGTGTGTCTTAATTGTCTCTTTTACTCCCCCCCCCCCTCCCCCACACATATTTTCTTGGTCGGCCTCTTGATTTTTAGCCTGCTTTTCTCATATAGTATGCTCTAGCTGCAGGCTACTTTTGCTCCATTGTGAACAGATGACCAAACCATTTCATTCTTTGAAGTTCAATGAAATCATTCACCAATACTGTGCCCACTATTGTTCTAAGTTCATTGATGATCACGACTCTTCTTGTTTTTTTTTTCCGCACCACTTCTTATACATCTCATCTCACATGTTGTAATTTTACTTTTATAGGCCTGTCCATGTCTGACACTGATAGAACAAATTGTACTAATGACACATTTATCAGCTGCTTTTTTTTTTGTGTGTGCATGTTATTTTGATGCCTCAAAAGTGGGACTATCTGGTAATTTATGTTGTTGGTCTACATTTGGTTTTTCTATTTCTCTGTCTAATCCTCATTCCTTTGTGAATACACTGTCTAGATACTTTAACTTATTGGCTTGTTTTAATGTCTCTCCTTCAGCAATAATAACATGCTGAACTGGTGTTCTATTTACCGTCTTTGTTTCTGTTTTCTTTCAGTATTTATTTTCATATTACATTTCTTGCAAGAGGTCTCGAGCCTGTTTAAGTGGTGTTGGAGGTTATCCTTATCTTTGTATAAGAGGTCCTGATCGTCAGCAAAAATCATTTCATTTAAAAACACTATATTATCTTCTGGACATTAACAACAACAACAACAACAACAACAACAACAAAAAACAAGAGCGGAAACTTACAACGTGTGAAACTAGATGTTTGAGGGGGAAAAGCAGTCAACATAACAAGAAGAGTCCCTACAAGAAACGAAGATATTAGAATGGTGGGAACAACACCTGTCATTAAATTTATTCGGGGGAAAACTTGGTCAGAATCAACAAAGCATCATCGGTTGCAAGAGCACACAACATGAATGGAAACATCAAGAGGCAGAGGAAGGAAGGGCAGAAAATATGGATAGATAGAATTATCATCTTGCTGAAACTCAACAATATCACCATGCATCAAACTAAAGAGCCAGCACCATCCCGCAAAGCAATCACTAGCAGTGCCTGCGACGCCTAACATATTAAGCAGAGACTGTTGAATATTGAATCAAGAATCGACATCATAGCACTCTGGACACCCCCATAAACGCTCCGACCCATCTTCAGCAGCAAGCAAAAGTTTCAATTTTGATGGCATCAGTAACTGTCTGGTTGTAAATCCCTCTCGCCTTTCCCTTGAATGTTGAGTGTCAGCAAGATCCCATGATAACTCTTGGCAGGGCTGTTCTCCTCAGACCGAAATGATCTATCTGTGCCTCCGCACTGTTTACTCTGCTCACAAGAACAGAGAAAGACAACAGACAGATAGGCAGAATTATCTTTTCAAAGGACAGGAAACGTATAATGCGTTGCTTGGTACTGAAAGAGTTAAGAGTTACTAGAAACAACCAGAAATGTGTCAGTGACACACGGCGCACAAGTGCCAATACCTGACCGCATTCTGCCAGCTGCTGTAGTAGACTGAACGACATTGTTTGATAAATATTATCCTGCCACTGGGTGGCTGAAATTTACACGTGTACAGCTCAGACGAGCTACCCTTCACCAGAACGGGTTCGTCTGATTTTAATCTGAGTAATTAAACAAAGCGAATCAAGATGTAAGGAAAGCACGCTGAGGTGGGATAGAACACACACTGAGAAATGGTGATATAACTAAGTCTTTACACTGGAACCCATACGATCAAATTAAAAAAGGCAGATTTTTTCTTTTAAATATACCAGGAGAAAGAATAAGGAGGGAGAAAAGTGGCAAG